TCTTATTCTTATTTTTATATTTTTATGACAGTATGTTGCACTGAAGCACCGCAGCAATTTCCTAATGTTGTAAACCTGCTCAACATCTGGCAATAAACCCTTTCTGATTCTGATTCTGATTTCACCAACACAATTAAAACTCGTTCATATTTCTGCTTCACCTGAACTCACCATCACTGATGTCCACTCACCTGATGAGACTGTGGGAACTGACAGAAGTTAAAGGATACCCTATGTATCTGTGTTTGAGGTCGAGAATGGCCGAGGCTGGATTTGCTGCGTCTACTGTAACCGTAACAGTTGGATAATAAAGTTTCACATGGATTTTTTATTATCAGCTCCACACTGATCCACACTAACCCACCGAGAAGCCAAAGTCACAGAAAAACAAATCCACAGCAGAAAAGGAGACAGCGGCTCGTTTCCTGTGAGGTCAAAATTCATGTTTTTGGTCTGGTGGAGAGTAAAGGCTTCACGATTCACAACTTTGAGCCTCCTGATTCTTCCTGTTAAAAAGGAGTTTTTCGTTCCCACAGTCCCCAAAGTGGTCACAGGGGGTCATCTGATTGTTGGGGTGCATTATTTTAGGGTCTTTACCATAAAACATAAAGCACCATGAGGCACTGTGGTGATGATTTGGTGCTTTGTAAATAAAATGGAACTGAATTAAATATATGATCTAAATAACAGTTTGTATTATTTTGAACATTTAGAGGAACAGACACATCAACACAAAGCAGACTAAATAAAACAGTTTGATGCTGTTGCTGCAACATGTCGCAGCTTTTCTGATTTTTGTTCAGAGGAGAAATTAAATTATTTTACAGAAAATATTAATATTTTAGGAAAAGTCAAAATTATGTCAAACAAACTAAGGCTTAAAAAAATAAAACAAACAACATTAAGACATAAGAAGATGAAATATTAAGAAGCACTGGTTGCTCGTCACTAAATAAATGAAAAAACTCGCTGCGAGGTTTTATTGTTTTATTCCTGTGGTCACATGAGCACCGACAAACCTTTAAATAAAAATATAAAAAACTGAAAAACAGAAGTCTGAGTCGTCCTTCAGGAGACACGAACCCGTCTGCTCCGATAGAAAACTGTAGAAACGAGGTCAGAGGTCAGAGGTCGGGGGGGCGACGGCGTTTCCGTCAGCCAGGTTGGCTCTGCAGATAGGACAGGTGGTGTTATCCTGAGGAGGAGGGGAGACACAGGTGAGGAGACGGCGTTTAAGGAGGGGCTCTAAAAACAGTGGAGCGCGAACGGCGCATCCCCCGGAGTACCTTCAGCCATCGGTCGATACACTGGACGTGGTAGTCATGGAAACAGGGCAGAATCCTCAGCTTCTCGCCGTCGCTGTAGTCGCAGAAACAGATCTGACACCTGCCGGCCAATCAGCACAGAGACGTGTTAGCGTGCAGGTTCGGGGTTCGTTTGTTTTCAGCGTTACAAACGGCGAGCTCAGAGACTCACTGCGTGTTCCCGTTGCCACTGCTGGATCCCTGAAACACCTTGGTGGGAAACCTTTGGATTTCCCGCCGACTCAGCTTCCTGGATACCACGGCGCCCTGACGCTCCTCGAACTCCAGCAGAGCCTGAAAGACGAGCAGAGGGGTCACGGGGTCACGCTTGTCTGACGGTGACTCGTATGTTCACACAGATTTATGACAGGAAAAACGTTTGTAATAATTTAACGTCCGTTTGAATATCGCGATCATCGGCTCCGGAAGACGTGGAACGCGCGATTCAGGACTGAGAGTATGAGAAGAAAATCGGCCTCCACGGCGCGTCTTTCCCCGACTTCCTGCCCCGCTCAGACAGCCTCCCTGAGCCTGGGTCTTTTTCCTTCCCACTGTGACCAAGCGCTTGTTCATAGGGGGTCACATGATCGTTGGGTGCCGTACAGCACGGAGCACCCTGAGGTGACTGTTGTGGTGACTGCGTGCTGTGTAAATAAAACTGAAGTAAAGCGGGTTCGAGTTAAAGCCAGAAATTTAGGCTTACGTGTCCTCCCCCTGCAAAGACGCCGTGCCGGAGCGATACTGCAACGCTGATGTGACAGGAACAGTGTTTTTCTGGAATGGGAACTAAATCTCTTTGACCGGATCAAAGCTTTCTGCAGCTGAGCCACAAACAAGGCGCCAAGTTCAGCTGACTCTGGTCGACCAATCGCCTTTCAGGACTCCGTGTCCCATGTGTTCTTGCTAAACCGCCCCCAGGTGCTGCTGCCGATGCTCAGCAGTGGTTATGATCGCCACACCTCTAACACCAACATGATTGATTTGTTTCTGCTGTCCCGGACTTCCAGGTAACCGGTGGGTGGAGCTGACCTAGATTAGGTCGCAGCACACTTCAGTTCAAACAAATGTGAGGCCTCCCTCCTCCATCAGTCCTCCTCACCTCGTAGTCGTTTCCCTGAAGGTCGTCTGAAAAGTCGGGTATGCCGTTCCTCCTCCTGCCCTGCCCACGTCTTCTACGCTGACCAATCAGGTCTGCAGAAACACATCAGCTGCATCAGAAGAAGCAAAATGACTGCAAACTGATTGAAACTCTAAACACAGCTGGAGAATCAGGAGGTCACAGATCACATGTTCAGTCTCCCTCCTACTGACCAATCAGGTGTGAGCAGGCTCTTGTTTACCTGCGAACGCTCGATTAATCGCTGCTCTAAACGCCAGTGACATCATCACCGATGTCTTACCTTCTTCCAGCCCCACAAGAGGAGAGACGGCCGCGAGCACCTGAGACATCCAGCGAGGCTCCACGTAGGGATAAAACTGCAGAGAGAAGGTCACACCTGAGTCCACAAACCGAACCCTGTACCTGCACACGTCCTTCACTCTGAGTGTCTCACCCTGTGGTGGCTCTCTTGATGAAGGTGATGGTGGTGATGATGCTGGTGCCTGCCATGAAGATCCGACTCCTCTCGGTCAAACTGAGCCTGAAGGACGAAAAGGAAACGTGAACACCTGTCCGCTCTGCCTCAGGTGAGGCGTTTTTGTCCGGGCCAGCTTCTACCTGCAGGCTGCGGGCCAGCGCCTCGTCTTCCTCCATCTGTAGTGAACGCACGGTGGCTTCCTCATCGTCGCTGATGATGATCTGCTCCACTGCAGCTGCAGGAGAAACGACAGAAACATCACTGAGTTTGTCTGATGAGTTTCCTCATAAACAGGTTTCTCCATCTGTTCCCAGAAACACCCGCCAACTTCCACCAGACTCCAGTGAAAAAACGTCGATTTTTACCTCAAAACGTTAGCTTTCTGTTCGCTTCCTGTGACGTCTGGATGTTAAACTGTGAATGTGAAGTTGCACAATAAGACCAAGTCAGCTGAGCAGCAGCAGGAGAACAGCTGCCGCCTTCTATGAGGCTAAATTCTGTTTTTTTAATGGAGTCTGGTGGAGAGTAACGCCATCACTTCAGAGACGTTTCTGTAAAGCTCAGATTCAGGCAGGAAGCGTGACCGCCGAACGCTCGTACCTGCAGAGGTGCCGCCTTCATCACCGTTCAGCCACCTCCTCTCCTCTTCGGTGAGGAAGGACAGCGAGTTGGAGCTCGATGCCGCTGCTGGAGGTGGTGACGGTGACGCCAAAGTATTCGTCTCATTTGGTCTCGGCTGAAGGACTGATACCGGAGTGAGGTAGGAAGAGGACGAAAAGGAAGAAG